CCTTCCCCTCCCCACAACAGACACCCTGCGCGGTAGGTGGGGGGGCTGAGAGAGCTCTCTCGAGAATTCCCGTTGAGAGAACTGTGACTGACCCAAGGTCACACCAGCAGCTGCATGCGGAAGAGGAGTGGGGACTCAAACTTGGCCCTCCCGAACTGGCAAAGCGAGGCAGCCACACCCACCTTGTCATTTCGCTCACACAAGAACTTCAGGCGCTGGGCCCGTTTGTGCATGAAGACCCCGTCCAGGTGGCCCGTCTCCACCGAGCGGATCTCAATGGCTTTCTCCCCCCAGCCCATGATCTGGTTGGAGCAGATGTAAGCTGGGGAGGGAGGAGAAGCAGGAGAAGAGGTGAGAGCCTGGCGCCCCGGCCCCCGGCAGCCCCCCCCCCTCCCCCCGCCCCCTCAGCTCACCAACGGAGGTGGGCATCTCCCCCCACTGCAGGACGACGTCCTTGATGATGCGCCCATAGGTGTTGACGTACACCCCCTCGTCCTCGTAGCAGAGCAGCATTTCCATCCCTTCCGTGTTCGGCAGGAAGATGATGGCGTGGGGGGTGATTTGGGACTGGATCTGCAGCGCGGGGAGGGGAGGGGAGGGGGGAGGACTCGCTCAGTCCCTGGTTGCCTCCAGCCCCCGGCCTGACCAAGGAATGCCTCCCTCCCAGCCCAGCCCGGGGGGGGGGCCTTGCCCTTGCTTACGTGCACGGGGATGTAGATGTCGTAGTTGTTGCCGGAGTCCACGTCGATGGCGTGGAAGCCGGCACAGGACCCGTAGATCACTTTGAGCCGCTGCCCCTCCTCCACGGTCAGCTCCACGAGCAGCGGCCGGTGAGGCAGGTCAGCAAAAGACTGAAAGGAGGCAGAGTTCCCTGGTTGGGCTGGAATAGCTACCACCCCGCCTCTCCCTCCTCCCAGGCCCCAGCATGGGATCACAGCCCTGCAAAATGTTTCCGAGAGTAGCCGTGTCGGTCTGCAGCTGAAGGGCTGGGTTCGAGTTTAGGAGCACCCCAGAGACCAACACTTTGCCAGACAGAAGGAGCTTTGACTCTCCAAAGATTATATCCCACCATCCCCCTTGCAAATCTTGTTGTCCTCTAAGGTGCTACTCGACTTGGAGCGAACAACACAAACAGGATACTGAGCAGTTCACTGAAACAGAACAGTCCGCTCCCACAGTAAAAACCATTCCAGCAGGCCTGGACCGGAGCCAAACGGACCTTAGGCAGCGCTGGAAAATACCCCTCCCTCGGAAGGCTGGAGCTGCCATGTGGGGCCACGTGGGGGGGAGAGGCCATTCTTCATTTAAATGTTTGTAATATGGTTAACTTTTGTATATGGTTTTATGGTACCTTTTACCCATTAATGTAAGCCACCCTGAGCCTGCTCACAGGAAGGGTGGGCTATAAATTGAAGTAACAAATAAATAAAATAAATTACACGGGCCCCTAGTCATGAAGGACTTCAAAGGTGAGCGCCAACATATGTATTTATTTATTATTTCTATTTATATCCCGCCTTGCCGGACACGCTGGCTTCAAGGCGGGATATAAATTAACACTAACCTGTTAATGTTCTTTGAGGGGGTGAACAAACATGTGGACAAGGGGGATACAATAGATATTGTTTACCTTAACTTCCAGAAAGCTTTTGATAAAGTTCCTCATCAAAGGCTCCTAAGTAAGCTCAAAAATCATGGGATAAAAGGACAAGTCCTTTTATGGATCAAAAACTGGCTAATTAATAGAAAACAGAGAGTGAGTATAAATGGGCAGTTCTCCCAGTGGAGGGGGGTAAGCAGTGGGGTACCACAGGGATCAGTACTTGGTCCACTGCTTTTTAACTTGTTCATTAATGATTTGGAGTTGGGAGTAAGCAGTGAAGTGGCTAAATCTGCGGATGATACGAAGTTGTTCAGGGTGGTGAAAACCAGTGAGGATTGTGAGGCACTCCAAAGGGATCTGTCAAGGATGGGCAAGTGGGCGTCAACATGGCAAATGGGGTTCAATGTGGCCAAGTGCAAGGTGATGCACATTGGAGCCAAAAATCCTAAATATAAATACACATTGATGGGGTCTGAACTAGCAGAGACTGATCAAGAGAGAGATCTTGGAGTTGTAGTAGATAACTCACTGAAAATGTCGAGACAGTGTGTGACTGCAATAAAGAAGGCCAATGCTATGCTGGGGATTATTAGGAAGGGTATTGAAAACAGATCAGCCAATATAATAATGCCCCTATATAAATCAATGGTGAGACCTCATTTGGAATACTGTGTGCAGTTCTGGGCACCACACCTTAAAAAAGATATTATAGCTTTGGAAAAAGTGCAGAAAAGGGCAACTCAAAAGATAAAAGGGTTGGAACACTTTCCCTATGAGGAAAGGTTAAGGCGCTTAGGGCTCTTTAGCTTGGAGAAACGACGACTGAGGGGTGACATGATTGAGGTTTATAAGATTATGCATGGGAAAGAGCAGGTAGAGAAAGAGGTACTTTTCTCCCTTTCTCACAATACAAGAACCCGTGGGCACTCCATGAAATTGCTGAGCGGTCGGGTTAGAACGGATAAAAGGAAGTACTTCTTCACCCAAAGAGTGATTAACACATGGAATTCACTGCCACAGGAAGTGGTGGGTGCTACAAGCATGGACGGCTTCAAAAGGGAATTAGATAAGCATATGGAGCAGAGGTCCATCAGTGGCTATTAGCCACAAGGTATAGCTAGGGGCTCTGGGGCAAGTGATGCTCTGTCTTCTTGGTGCTTGGGGGGGGGTCAACAGTGGGAGGGCTTCTAATGTCCTGGCCCCACTGCTGGACCTCCTGATGGCACTGGTATTTCTGGCCACTGTGGGATACAGAGTGTTGGACTGGATGGGCCTTTGGCCTGATCCAACATTGGCATCTCTTATGTTCTTATGTTCTTATGAAATACCTGCCCATCGAAAACGCTTTATACTGCCAAACAGGGCCAAGAAGATGCAGGCGAATCTGGCGAGGGAAGCTAGTATAGCAGCATCTGGTGGGACTGATTAACATTTCTGCCGCTTCGAACCCAAACATTAGATACCATTGTGGAATGTGGTTTGGCTCTTGCTGCACTTCAATATTTATGCAGGTTTCACTTTTTTTTTTTATTAGAACCATTCACCTGGCCAGATGCCAAACCAAAAACTTATTTTTGGGGGGACATAGTAGCAGATTCTCTACTCAAATCTCTAATTGCTTTTAAAATCCCTAGCAGGAAGGAGCAAGTTTTTGCAGCAGTATTTCCGTCTGCAAGGACGAAAATAGATTTCCTTCACATTAGCATGGGAAAAGCCAGACGCAAGGTGGGGTTTCTTTTTGCACAATGTATAGGTGCAACCACCACTGGCAGATGTGGAAGGAGCATTTTTAGGAGGAAAGCTTGGTATCGTGGGGAGTTCGCGCTCCCAGTTTAATTCTGGCAAGAGAAATGAGGCTGTCTTTACTCCCTTTGCAAGGATAGAAGCAGAATGCCTGCACATCGTACCTGGGAGAGCATCAGTTTTAACCTCTAGGAATAAGTGCATACTTTTTTTTACTATTACTATCATCATCATGGCTGTGGCATTCTGCACTAGCTGCAGCCTCGGGATCTGGGACAAGGGCAGCCCCATGTAGAGAGCTAGGTCATTGCATTCGCGTAAGGGAACTGCCTAGTCAGCCGTAGATGGTAAAAGGCCGCCTTGACAGTGGCTGCTACCTGGGCCTCCATTGTTAAGGAGGCATCCAGGAGCACTCCCAGACTCCTAACCCACGGCGCTGGCGAATGTCAGCCCACTCCGACTCAGGCACAGGATCTCGAAGCTAACTGGCAGCCAGAGAAGGGACCTCGGGACAGGAGTCATATGGTCCCGTTGGCATTTTATACCAGCTGCAGTTTCTGAATTGGCTTCAAGGGCTGCCCCACGTACAGCACATTACAGTAGTCTAGCCTCGGCATCAGTGAAGCATGGATCAGCATGCCCAGATTGGATGTCTACAAACAGGGGGCCAATTCCCTAATTGTCACGGACACCTGTTCCTCCAGGATCAAGCGGAAGCTGCATACCAGCGAGGGCAGGAAGAAGCCCGGGATACCGGAGCCGGAAAGAGAGAAGGAAGAACTCCCGCGGCAGCCAGGGTAGGACTCGCGGTGGGCAAAGGTTCGCTCTCACTCGGCCCTTTCCGAGCCCAGTTTGGCTCGGTGCCAAGCGCAAAAGGCCCCCTCGGGCACTGCCAGGTCAGGATGCCCGTTTCTGGCGAAGCTGGGCAGTTCCACCGCAAGTAACGCAACTCCCGCCACCACCACCCGCCCCCCAGGTCTTCCGCCCCCCAGGTCTTCCTTTCAATCCACCCCACTACTGCTGGACTCCCCCCCCCCATGAGGCCCCCAGGGGGGCCAAAGCAGATCTCAGAGCACGCAGCAGAGCTCCAGCCCGTCCCCAGGAGGGCAGGGCCAGAGTCTGCAGGGGAAGGTCTCGACTCCGCTCTGGCACCACCTTAGAGGCCAGCAACATTTTCAGGGGACAAACCTTCGAGGCCAAAGCTCCCCGTGGGCAGACTGGGCTGGAATCAAGCTCTCCTGTTCCCTCGAGCCCTGGGACTGCTCCCCCCGCCTACAAATGGGCCCCCCGCCCACAAAAAACCCTGTGCGAGTACCTTGAAGGCCATGAATTTGTGGTAGGGCTTTGGGGCCCAGGCATAGACCTCCACCGAGTTCTTGAGCGCAATGACCAGGAACTTGATCCGTTCGTACTTCACTGCAGGCGGAAGTCAGAAGGAAGAACAAGGGATGGGCGGGGATCAGAGGGGGGGGCCTACCCCCTTCCCCTTGGGGGTTCTCTTCCCCTTTCTTGCATGCTGCGGGGTCCAGCCACAGCCCCGGGGGTTGGGGTGAGTTTGGCACAGTCCCTTCCTGTGTTGGCAGCTGGGGAAGGAATTCTGGCTCTCTGACGCGGGTGGCGCACATGTGGCTGGACTCACTTGCTCAAACCAGCTGCAGAACTTGGAGCTGCCCGCAAGTTTCCATGTTTATTCCCCGCTTGGCCATCGGGTGGGGGGGCCCCAGATTTTTGTTCTCACTGAAGCACAAACGCACGCGGGGGGAGGGGAGAGCAGACGTCTAGACACCCCTCTGGAATCAAACACCTTATCATTTGATTTGATCGTGTTCCCAGATGCTGCTGGATGATCTTTTAAGGGGAAGAAGAACTGAACCTGACAAGTCCAATAGTCAGAGCTTTATATCCAGGGGATGTCATGGGTTCAGCCTGAACACTTCTGCTTTGCTCGGGGGCCAGAGGAAGGGCCTGCCGTTGAGTCAAGCAGAGAGCAACGGGATCCGGCCCACTGGCGCCCTTCTTAAAAGGGTTCGCTGACAACTAAGGCTTTCCAAAAAGGAATG